CAAATACATCCTGGATACGGATGCAAGTTCAGAGGGCATCGGAGCCGTACTGTCTCAGGTGCATGACGGTGTCGAGAAAGTTGTGGCTTTTGCAAGCCGGAAGTTGAGGAAAGCTGAGAGAAACTACTGCGTCACTCGAAGAGAGCTGCTCGCTGTGGTGACGTATTTAAAGTACTTCCGCCAGTACCTTACGGTCACAAGGTCAAAGTACGGACGGACCATTCTTCTCTGGTATGGTTAAGGAACTCGAAGAACCCGGACGGACAACTTGCACGATTGTCGGAGGTTGTGTCAGAGTATGACGTCACAATCCAGCACCGTCCGGGTGCCAAGAATCAGAATGCTGATAGTCTGTCTAGACGACCTTGTAAACAATGCGACCATTGTAATGCACAAGAGGATTCTGGTGGTGAAAATGCCGATATTGATGCGACTGTTACTGTGGAGGAAGATAAACAAAAGTCAACCTCGAGCCCAGGAGATGTAAAGGGGGCCCTAGTTGCTGTGGTGGAGCCTACTCTAAGCAGCAAAGGCGGATGGGTCAAAGTGGCTGTTAATTGCCAAGGGTGAGGGAAAGGAGCGCCCTCATTGGGATGAGGTGGCTCACAGGTCTCCGGCAAGTAAGACGTATTGGTCCTACTGTGATCAGTTGGTTGTAAGAGACGGTGTACTGTACCAGCGATGGGAGTCGAATGATGGTGGTTCAGTCCAATGGAGGCTGCTGGTTCCTGAGATGTTCAGACGCGAGTTTGTAGAAGAACTGCATGGTGGGAAATTGGGAGGCCATCTTGGCCTTAAGAAAACCCTGGCCCGTGTGAAGCAGCGGTACTTCTGGTCAGGTATGAGTGCCGATGTAAGAGCATACATCCGGAAATGTGATCAATGTGCAAGGAAGAAGCCGCCCCCAAAGAAACGTAGGGCGCCCTTACAACAGTATAATGTTGGAGGAACCATGGATAGAGTGGCATTAGACTTGGTTGGTCCTCTCCCAAGGACCGAGGATGGGAACCAGTGGATCCTGGTGATTTGAGACTACACCACAAGATGGATGGAGGCATATACGCTCCCGGATGCAAAGGCAGAAACAGTTGCCTCGAAGTTTGTTAGAGAATTGGTTTGTCGATTTGGGGTGCCGAGGGAGGTCCATTCGGATCAAGGGACCAACTTCGAATCGGAGGTATTCCAGGAAATGTGTCGGCGACTGGGTATAAGTAAATCAAGAACAACAGCATACAATCCTAAATCAGACGGGCTCATAGAAAGGTTCAATAAGACTCTTGTCACCGTGGTTTCTATGATGATCGACCCACACAAAGGTCAACGCGATTGGGACCAGTACCTCCCATTCGCAACAAGCGCCTACAGATGTACGACACAAGAAAGCCTGGGGGAGACCCCAATTATGATGATGTTAGGCCGAGAAGTCACTCTCCCGATCGATCTGACAATCGAGCAGCCGACCCCAAGTGATGACGAGGCAAAAGGTGACTACGCAAAAAGTTTGAGGGACCAGATCAGGAGTGCTCACGAGAGGGCGCAGAAATGCCTGGGCAACGCTATGAGACGCCAGAAGAAGAACTATGATCGCCGGGCGCGCGACCCTGGTATTCAAGAGAAGGACTTTGTTTGGCTGTTCAACCCCGCGAAGAAGAAAGGGGTTAGCCCCAAGCTTCAGTTGAAGTGGGAGGGACCGTATTTAGTATTGAAGAAACTCCGGGATGTTGTGTTCCGCATCCAGAGGTCAAAGGGCGCAAAGCCCCGAGTTGTACTTGCTGATAGGCTGAAACCTTGCCATAATAGTCCAATGGATCCATGGAGTACTCCTAGTGGGGCTCCCTCTAGTGAGACCAACACCAGACATCCTGAGGAGGTTGAAACTTGGGGTGATAGGGATGAAGGAAGCAGTCTTCCTGAGATCTTGGTTACCTCAGAAAGAGGAAACAATTGTCTTGAGGTTTCAGGCAAAGATAAAACAACGCTTGAACCAAGTATATCAGTAGAGTCAGGTCATGATAAAACGGAGGAAACTGTGGCGGAATTAAGGCCTAGAAGATATCCCAAACGGGAGCATTAATTACCGATAAGATATCGATAGTAATTATGTACTCACATTGATTTAGTAAATAATCAATGGTTGCTTAAAGTAATGATTAACCAGTTGTTTCCTCTGTTATTTTAGAGAAGTAAAAATCACATAGATAAGGAAAATAACATGGAGGTCGGGGCTAAGATGGAGTTCCAGTGCACCAGGTGCCCCAAGAAGTTCAGCCACCTAAGGGGCCTGTTGCGGCATAAGAAAAGCCATGGGCCAGCACCCTATTTCTCCTGCCGGCGGTGTGATTACAGGGAGAGGCGTCGAGATAATCTGCGGCGGCACTATAAAGTAGCTCACCCGGACCACCTAAGTGACATAGAGAGGATGACGCCCGGGCCAAGGCAAGACAAAGGTCAGGAGGCCGATCAAGGGGAACCAACGCAGAAGGAGGCGAGGCGGATCGTCGTGGGAAGCACGCCTGCGGACCGACGAAGTCCCAGTCCTCGACTCACGGTACCATGGGACAAGTTTAGGAACCTCCCGAGGCCCCTGTCCCCGTTAAAAACGTCCCTGGAGAAGGAAAAGCCACGAGAAGAAGAAAAAGAAGACCACCAGAACAACAAGAGACCCACCCTGGAGAACGATACCCCTCCAGAGGCCATCCCAGGCAACGACAAGCCGAAAGAAGAACACCCGGCCACGCCCAGCCGCCAGGCAGAAGTCCATAAACCAGCGCCAGCCAATGGAGTCACCGGGACCCCCAAAGCGCGTACCCGCTTTGAGCTGAGGAAACCACGCATCCCCAAGACGGCCACCATCATCGAAGAAGTGCTGACACGACCATACGTAGATGGAGTAGAGATTCACCGGGAGGCGCGCCAGCGGAAATATTTCCAAGATGTCCTGACTGACTGCCCCCTTCTGTTGGCAAAATAATAATAATAACAAAAAAAAAAAAGCAGTAGTCGATTTACCAAGAAGATAGGAAATAACCTGATATAAATTAAGCAGCTGATTTACTGAGGACTTTTAAAGTATACCGGGAGCAACTTGATTCTTTACTTTCAATCTCAGAAGAAGCATTCTACTTTCTAATAAGGTTTA